TTCTTCCTTTTCTAGTTTCGTTAGTTGTGAGTTTAGACTGTTCATTTGGGATTGTTCTTCTCTCCTGAGGTAAGCCTGTACTGCAATATACTTCCCTCTTCACAAGGCCTTTGCCATGTCCCACAGATTTTACATTGTTTAATTACTGTTGTCATTTGTCTCTATATATTGCTTCATCTCTTTTTATTTGGTCATTGATCCATTGATTAGTTAGGAGCATGTTATTAAGCCTCCATGTGTTTGTGGGATTTTTCATTTTCTTTGTGATCTGAGAAGGTGGTTGGTACAATTTCAATCTTTTTTGAATTTACTGAGGCTATTTTTGTGACCTAGTATATAATCTATTCTTGAAAGTGATTCCTGTGCACTTGAGAAGAATGTGTATCCTGTTGCTTTTGGATGAAGTGTTCTCTAGATGTCTGTTAGATCCATCTGTTCTAATATGTTGTTCAGTGCTTCTGTCTCTTTACTTATTTTCTGTCTGGTTGATCTGTCCTTTGGAGTGAGTGGTGTGTTGAAGTCTCCTAAAATGAATGCATTGCATTCTATTTCCCCCTTTTATTCTGTTACTATTTGTTTCACATATGTAGGTGATCCTATGTTGGGTGCATAGATATTTATAGTAGTTATATCCTCTTGTTGGACTGACCCCTTTATCATTCTGTAATGTCCTTCTTTGTGTCTTGTTACTTTCTTTGTTTTGAAGTCTGATTTGTCTGATACAAGTACTGCAACACCTGCTTTTTTCTCCCTATTAGTTGCATGAAGTATCTTTTTCCATCCCTTTACTTTCAGTCTGTGTATGTCTTTAGGTTTGAAGTGAGTCTCTTGTAGGCGGTATATAGGTAGGTCTTGTTTTATACATTCAGTGGCTCTACATCTTTTGATTGGTGCGTTCAAACCGTTTACATTTAGGGGGATATCGATAGGCATGTGCCATTGCAGGCTTTAGACTCATGGTTATCAAAGGTTCAAGGGTAATTCCCTTACTATCTAACAGTCTAATTTAACCCACTTCATATGCTGTTACAAACACAAACTAAAGGTTCTTTTTTTCCCCTTCCTTTTCCTTCATCCTCCATTTTTTATATGTTAGGTATCATATTGTTTACTCTTTGTCTATCCCTTCATTGACTTTGGAGGTAGTTGATTTGATTTTGCATCTGCTTAGTTATTAACTGTTCTACTTTGCTGTGGCTTTATTTCCCCTGGTGACATCTGTTTAGCCTTAGGAATACTTGCATGTATAGCAGTCCCTCCAAAATGCACTGGAGAGGTGGTTTGTGGGAGATAAATTCTCTCAGCTTTTGCTTATCTGAAAATTGTTTAATCCCTCCTTCAAAGTTGAATTATAACCTTGCCAGATATAGTATTCTTGGTTCACGGCCCTTCTGCTTTATTGCATTAAATATATCATTCCACTCTCTTCTGGCCTTTAAGGTTTCTGTTGAAAAATATGATAGCCTGATGGCTTTTCCTTTGTATGTGATCTTTTTCCTCTCTGTAGCTGCTTTTAAAAGTCTATCTTTATCCTTGATCTTTGCCATTTTAATTATTGTATGTCTTGATGTTGTCTTCCTTAGGTCCCTTGTGTTGGGAGGTCTGTGCACATCCATGGCTTGAGAGACTATCTCCTTCTCCTTCTCCAGATTGGGGAAGTTTTCAGCAATTACCTCCTCAATAACACTTTTCTATCCCTTTTTCTCTCTCTTCTTCTGATACCACTATAATGCAGATATTTTTCCATTTGGATTGGTCACACAGTTCTTTCAATATTTTTTCATTCTTAGAGGTCCTTTTATCTCTCTGTGCCTCAGTTTCGTTGTATTCCTCTTCTCTAATCCCTATTCCATTTACCATCTCTTGTACTACGTCTAATCTGCTTTTAAATCCCTCCATCATATGTTTCATTTCAGATATGGAATTTCTTTATAATTGAATCTCCATCTTAACGTTGTCCATGAGTTCTTGAATATTTTTCTGTACCTCTATGAGCATGTTTATGATTTTTATTTTAAACTCTCTTTCAGGAAGATTTGTGAGTTCAGTTTCATTTGGCCCTTTTTCTGGGGTTTGTGAGATTTTGTTACGGAGCTCTTCCAGAGAAGCCTGGAAGCCATAATTCTATGTGGTGCCCTCTAGTGCCCAGAAGCTCCAGTCTCTGGAGCTTTTCAGCTCCAAGAGTGAGGTTGGGGGTCATTGGGGAGCAGTGCTGGTGCTGGGGGGAAGGAAAGAGCTGTTTCCTGATTCCCGTCTGCAGTGCCTGTCTCCAGTGTCAGCCAATGGGCCGAGCACACAGCTGTAAGCTTCTGTGCTTGGCGTCTCTAGCTGTTGTAGGCGGGGCCTCTCTCTGGCTGGCCTGACGCCAGCACAGTGACTGCCAGTTTGCGAGCAGGTGCCAGCATGCCAGAGGGAAGGCGCGGCAGGCTGCGTGTCACAGTGGGGGGCCTCAGAGTTGAGTAGGCAGCCAGGGAGATGGAGCACCTGACACTCCTAAAAGTTCCCAACCTGCTGGGCAGAGTGCACCCAGACAACCTTGTCCACCTATCCCTTCTCCCTTACAGCAAGCCCCGTGCAAACCCTGCCCCTTCAGCAGCCCTCTAGCTGCTAGGAAGCTTCTCAGACCGCCTGCCTTTCCTTTGTCCAATAGTGGCCAGATGTGGATTCCACCCTCCACAAACAGCTGCAATTCTCAAGCACTCTGCCTGTCCCAGCTCCCCAACCCCACCAATCTCCAGAGCACCACACAATGTAGGATTATGTTCCAAAGCAGACCTGCAGGGCTGGGTATTCAGTGGTCCTAGGCTTCCACCCCGTCCCAGCTTCATTTCTCTTCCTCTTGCCCCTGAGCTGGGGTGGGGGAAGGGCCTGAGTCCCACCGGTTCAAGGCTTTCATATGTTACCCTGTTTCGTGAGGTCTGCTCTGTTCGTGAGGTCTGTATGCAGTCTGGTGCAGCCTTCTTTCCTGTTGCTGTTTTAGGGCTAGTTGTACTAACTATATTTTCATACTGTATTTGGGTTTGGGAGGAATTCTCTGTCTTACCTCTCATGCTGCCATCTTGAATCTCTCACAGAGCATTCTTGAGAGAAAACAGTTGAGCCCTCTGGCTAAGGATAATGGAGACTTTAAAATTATGTTTCAAGCTGTCATTTTTTGAATACCTAATTATGTCTTAAAGACTATGCTACGTATTTTAATGCTTGCAAATAACTGTATGATATAGGTACTGTTATTATTTTCCTTTTTAAAAGGAAACTAATGCTCCTGGGATTTAGTCAATTGCCTGCATTCAAATAACTTGCCCGAGGGTGCACAGTTAGGAAATGATAAGGCCAGGGTTCCAGCCCTGGACAGTCTTGGCCCAGGCCCTTGATCACTCCTGTGTGTACTGCTTCCTGTTTGAATCTTTGCTTCTCATTGTAACCCCAGCAGAGTTCTCTTCTGTAACACTGCCTGCCACAGTTACCACAGTAATATAATGGCCATAGATTTCTCTTTGTTCATAATGCCAATAGCAGGGCTAAGCAATGTCCACTTTTATCATTAATACAAGAAGGATGATGATAAAGGGAGATGAAGTAGTGTGACAGAAGGAAGGAGAGATGGGAGAAGAAAAATGATGCAAATGGAGTCTTGTGGCACTTCTGAATCAACCTGTCCCTGTATTCTTGCATAACTTTTCCCCTTCAGAGTTGCTATTATTTTACCCAAGCAGAAATAAATTCAAATCATTTAGGGAAGGGAACACGTGGTGTGGCTTTTCTCTGAACTGTTTCAGTCTTCCCAGACAGTCCCTAGCGGCAGTAGCAGTGACCTCAGGTGCCATGCACTGGCATTGGAGCCAGAGGCTGCCTAGGGTCCTTTTTGTGCCTGTGTCCTTTTTTTTCTCTCTTGGTAAAAATGAAGGCAACTGTCCAGTGTATTCTCACTTCCTGCCCATCTAGCTGAAACAACTAGGGTTTTGTGCCTTTGTCTTCTCTCCAACTCAGCACACATTACCAGTGTGCCCTGTTCCTATGTGGCATGCAGTTGGGGTGTGGAGGCTCAAGGTTGTTCCTTATTTCTGAGACAGTACCTGAGAGGAAACCAGGTCAGAGTCCATGAGTTGTCTTTTTTTTTTTTCATCATTGTCCCCTTATTTCTCTTCTACTGTCCATCCTGTTCATCTTTTACTCTCTCCCCTTTCAACTCAAAATAGTAAGTTGAGTAAAAAAGAGGTCATCCTTTATTGTAGAGGAGAAAGGACACAAAGCTGAGTTAGAGTCAGTAGTTCAGACAGCTCTCTGGATTAGTCTTGTAGCATTGTACCTGTAAGGGTCACATACGTCACTGGATTTTGGTCCACATGCTTTAAAGGAGGCATATATCCTAGAGCCCCAGGGTCTGGTGGGGCTGACTGGGGGACTAGTTAGTGATAGAGAAAAGATCAGTGGCCTGGAAGCCTGGCTTCTGACTGGTTGTATCACTTACTATTACCTGTGACCAAAAGCAAGTTTCATACTATTGTGGGTTCCTGTAAAATGACTAATTTTTAAGGACTCTTTCAGCTTAAACATTTTATGAATATGAGATGTGGGATGGCTTAATCCTCATCACTGGGATCATTGTAACTTTTGATTGAAGAAGAAATGGGGTGAAGCATTAGTTCCTTTCCTTAATTATAAGGCCATCCCTTCGGTGCAGTGAAAGTAGAGGGCCAGACTAAATGGCTTGTGAGTTCCCTTCTAATCCTAGGAGTCTTGGCTGCAGTGTCCCTTCTGACTTCATTTGTATATTTGTTGAGAGAGGAAGCAGGGTTGAACTATGGAGGTGGAAGTTGGACAAAAAACCATCTTGGATTCCTGTCTCAACTTAGGGATGGGTGTGAGACCAGAAGCAAGGTCTTCAGATTGCTGGGCTAGAGGATTCTCTTCGTTCTTTCTCTTGTGCCATCTCATTCACTCTTTGTGGTGGTTTAGTTCCCTAGTAATGCTGTTTCCACTTCCTTTTTTTCCCCTAGTACCTCAACATGCTAAGAACTTGTGAGGGCTACAATGAAATCATCTTCCCCCACTGTGCCTGCGACTCCAGGAGGAAGGGGCATGTTATCACAGCAATCAGCATCATGCACTTTAAGCTGCATGCCTGCACTGAAGAAGGGCAGCTGGAGGTGAGGGTACAGTTGGGGGCCCTGGGTTTTGGGGCACTGGGGGACTTTGGTTTTCAATCACCTGCTGTGCTTTAGTTCTTTCTGGGATGGTGGGGATGAATTCAAAACTGTTCGACTGGGGTAGATAATAAATAGGCCTTAGATTCACACTAATCCTCACTTCCCTTGGCTACTTGCACTGACTTGTACTCTTCTGTCGCAGTCTTCCCTCAAGTGACGTGCACATCGTTGTTTCTCTTCTGCTGCCTGGTTCAGAAGCACCTTGCCTAAGATACCCAGCATTCTCACACTTACTCTCTTGTTTTTGGTTGTTTAGAACCAGGTAATAGCATTTGAGTGGGATGAGATGCAGCGATGGGATACAGATGAAGAAGGAATGGCCTTCTGTTTTGAATATGCACGAGGAGAGAAGAAGCCTCGATGGGTTAAAATCTTCACACCATATGTGAGTGGTAGAGGGAGAAGCGTGCTTGGGGAAAGTAGATTGGGCTTAAAGTTCTCCTTCAACTAAATGCATACATGGAGAGAGCTATAGAGATAGCAGCTATCTTGAGATCAGAACCTGTTTGAATCCTAGAGCCCCTGGTTCTAGTCTTTCCTGGAGGCCCAACTAGGATTGGCAGTTTCACATCTCTCTTCAGTCACAGTTACCACTAGCAGGAGCCAGAGAATAGTAGATGAGCTAGGCCTGGGTTTTGTGCTGCTTGTCAGGGTTACTACCCTAGGCTGAGCAAGTTTAGAAGGTAGGGTGATGGAGGCTGGGAGCCATGGCAGGAGCTGAGACTCAAGGCCCTGTGGTGCCTGGTCTTGAAAAATCAGTGAATGTTGCTATTGTGTGATTTTTTTTTTCCAGTTTAATTACATGCATGAATGTTTTGAGAGGGTATTCTGCGAGCTCAAGTGGAAAAAAGAGGTAATTCTAAACAATCATGAATTGACTTTTTCATCTTTTTTGTTTGTTTGAAATTTATAGGCCTCTGGCCAAATACCTGGGATCCTCACTTCCATCTCTGTTTTTATAGGAGTAACAGAGAGACTTGTTATCCCATGTGAGCCAGGGATCATTAGCCTTCCAGAGAAGTTAGCCTTTTGATGCTGGACTGTGCAAAAAAAGCCCTTATTCCCTTGTCTAGAGAGTGGCCATTGGCTGTATAGGCTGTTTCATCTCTCATAACTTCATGGACACTCCTCTCCTATTTTTTATCAAATCACGTTGCATGTTGTTCCTGACCCAGAGGGGCGGCCGTCCTTAGTTTTAGCTGTTCTGACTGAATGAGTCATGACAGAGTCTGTTTAGGCCGACCAAGAACGTGTATGTGTGGGAAGGTTTTGCTTCTGCTTTACTTTACTGCTGTACTGTCTGTGTACACCAATGCTGGCGCAGAATTTCAAGATTCTGAATAACTAGCTACCTACTCTCAAAGAAAATGTTCCCAAAGTTTAGAAAGTAAAGTCAGGAACATGAACGTTTATATTCTCTGCAGAGTAGATTCTCTGGGCTCTGAAAACCAGATCTGGATTCTCTTCCAGCTTTTTTTATCTGTGATTTTGGGCAAATCAGCCTCCTGACATCTCAGTTTTCTCATCTATGAAACAGGAAGGCTGAACCAGACAATTAAAATCCAAGGTCCCTTGCAGGTCTAAAAGGCTGTGATTTTACATGGGAAGTTAAAAGGGGCAGGGCCCAATCAGGTTGAGTCATCCAGTCATACATTTTATGTTTCTGTTTGTGGGATTTTCTCCAGATGGGACGAAATGTGGACACCTAAGGCTTCCCAATAACTCTTCTTTTTTTTTCTTTCAGAACATTTTCCAGATGGCGAGGTCACAGCAAAGGGATGTGGCCACCTAGCCTTTCCTTATCCGCTTCCTTTCTCTTCACCCTCATTCTCTTACCCCTTTTGTCTCCCATGTCAGACAGAGTTAACCATTAACATAAAAGACAAGGAAAAGGAAAAAAGTCACTCTATTCAAAAGCCCTAAACTAAATATTATTTAATAATCCGTCTGAATTTCATGTCTCTGGAATTGAGCTTTTAAAGAACAACAGATTGGTCAGCACCAGGAGTCAACTGAGTTAAGACAGGAAAAGAAATAAGCCCAACCAACTTGCCAAAGGTATCTCTGTCCCTTCACCTGGGCCTCATACCAACAGACTCTCCTTGTACTATATTTTTAAAACTGGAACTATGAACTTCATCCATTTGCACGGTTCAGACATATATATGTATGTATGTAAAAATTATATATATACAAATTAGTTGCACGTATATACATATATATATTTCTTTTTAAATTTCATATTGATAGCAGTACCTTTTTTAGCTTGTGTTTTTACACACCTTTCACTAGAATTCATGACTTCTTTCTTGCTCTCTTTATTTTGAAACAAACTTTAAAAAGGAAAAAAAAATTTTACAGGGAAAATACCTCTCCTCATGAAGGACTCGAAAAGTTTACAATCTGCTTGGGTTCCTCCTGCTCCCCCACTTTTGTATTGAGTGAAGATTCTGGTTCATGGGTTGCCATAGAGTCTGAAGAGCAAGGAGTGTAATTTCTTTATCTTCAAAGAGACTGCTTAGGGAGGAGAAAGAGGTGTGTTTTTCAAGGGCAACAAAGCTGCAAAGCTGCAGGGAGAGTCTAAAGACTTGCTGTGGTCTCTGGATTCCAAGAAAATTATCCTAGTCCATCTCACTCGCTCCCACTCATAGCTTCCTTGCCACACTCCATGTCTCCTTCCTGCTTCCCGAGGGCTGCTTGTATGCTTTCCCCTTGACTGGCTGAGAATGGAGGGGAGGGTGGGCTCAGAAGGTTGACGCCACAGGAACCTGAAATACCTCGTGGTCGTAATTTTCCATTTCCCTGCCATTTCTGAAGCAGGAATAGTACTAGGCACCAGAGTTAAAGCTGATACCTTTAGGCACAAAGATTGGACTTAGGTAGGGTAAAGAAAGGAAGAAATGTCTCGTGTATATAAGCTTTCCCCTACTTCATTCCTGACCAGTAAGCACCTATAGCTATTACATTTTCTGTGACTTCCTTAAAGAGCAGTACTGAGGGAGGATCTGACAGTATCCCCAAGGCCTTGGGGAAGCTTGGAATGGGTCAGTGGTCTATGCCCACCAAACCATAGCCCATCCAAGCCAGCTGAGGAACCAGGAAGGAGCAGCAGGTATATGGTTGATTTGGGTTGGATCTCAACATTTAATTAAGAAGAGACTGAAGGAATATCTCGTGGTCCCTCAAAGAGCTCCTCGTCTGACCTTGCTGTTAGACCATTTGAGGTCTGAGAGCTACATGCATGATCTGGGGCCAGGGCTGACTGGGGTAGGTCAACATTCTCCCTGCAAGCCCCATAGATAACTGTACTGGGAGCACCAAGTCAGGCTGTGATGTAACTGAATACATCTATGAGCCTTCTTTTCTTTTTCCCTTCTCTACCTTCAAGACAAAAACTGCCAGGGGGGCATCTTTGGCTTTAAGTGGGAGGCAGCATAGTTGGTTTTAGTCAACCTCACTGAGCAGTGTTAGGATGGTTTGAAGTTTCTTTTCTTGTAGCTTAGTTTGCAGATCATTGTGAGGCCACTTTACTTGCTCTCTCACTCTGTTATTCTGGTGGCCACTTGCCCCAGGGAGTGTGGGAGCTATAGGACTTCCTGTCTTCCCTCCCTTTCTCCAGACCTAGGTGGAGTCACAGAGTGTGAAATGTAAGAATGCCGAATGCTTATTAAAGTTGCAGAGAGCGATCCCTGATTTGAAGGATTTGACACAGGGTTGGCTTAAATGAATTTAATTATTTAGCTTAATTATTTGGAAAGAATAACCTGGAAAGAAGGCAAATTCATTTCCCACTCTAAGATGCTAAAGAGGCTTTTGGCACCAGCTGTGTTCAAACTGTAAAAGTAGCAATTTGCCCCTCTTCCCTCAGAGTGTCAGAGAAAGGAACAAATCCAGGAGCATGTGACAGTACAAATGCTGACCTCTGGGTGTGAGGTTCAGGGGGATGCTCTTGGAACAAAAGCCCCTTAGAGTGGCACCATCCCCTTTCTGGCCTGATATTCACTTGGTGCTTTGGAGACTGGGTGAGGGACCCATAGGGAGTTGGTCCATTGGCAGAATCTGTTTAGGAACAGCCCCTGCTTGAGGCTGTACCACTAACAAATTCCAGCTACAGCAAGGAGTAGGGAAGGAGGGAGGTCCCGGGGGACAGCGCCTGCTCCTCCACCCGCAGCAGGCTTCCTGCGACGGCTGCAGAGCTCACTGTGGCTGTGGAGCTCTTCAGGACCAAGCTCTTATTTGCATGAAGCAGTGTTAGGATAACATTCCCTTTCCCCCTTGCTCTGCACTTGCTCTCCCTAATCTCTACTACCTTTCTTTGTCCTGGGTTCTGCCCAGGGAGGCTTCTACCCAGTCTTTTTAGGCAGTTTGTCTCTGAGAAATTGAAGGGTTCCCCCTTCCCCCTGGATCTTTCTAGTCTCCTCTTTTCCTCCCCTTCATACTCAGTTTCTGTCCTCTTTGGAGTTTTTTGTGGATTAGGAGAAAATGCAGGCCCTGAGAAACCTGTGCCTGTAGAAAGGTTCTCTTGGGCCATGCTTTGGGCTCTCTGCTCTTAATGTTTTTATTCTACTCTTCATTTTTCTGCCCTCCTCTCTTGCCCTAGTCTTTAAGCTCAGCATAGGTGAGTGCTCAGGGCAGCTCCCAGGCCTGGAGAGAGCTCTCAGGGAGCAATTAGATAGATGTTCAACATCTCCATGCCTGGCCCATCTACTGTCATCCTTTAGTTACCCAGGCCAATAACTTTGAGTTATCCCCTCTTGTAGCTCCAAACCCAATGCTTGAAGGAGCAGGATAGGTCACTGACAGGAAGTGACACCTCTGTCTCTCATCTCAGATTTTGCCAACTTGTGTGCCTGGCTCCTCGGAGGCAGTTTTCATAAAGGGAACTGCATCCTGGTTGATCTAAAGTCTCTACACCTGGAGGGACTACTGTGCCCTCCTTTCTCTCCATTGTGCTCTCTGGCTGGACTGATTCAGTATAGAGACCATTTGGGCTGTTGGACCCCAAATAATGCTAGGTTCCTTTCCCAGATTACTGAGTCACATTAGCTTCCTTTTGGAGGGAGGATGATGTGGTTGAATACTCAGGAGAGGCTCTAGGTGTGCTGCTCTAGGTCCCCATCTTCCAGTTCCTCCTTCTCCCTTTCTTTTCCCTTTGACCTGAGCACATCATGCCAGGCCTCATACCAGGAGAGCATCAGCTCACTCCTCAGCAATAATCTAGGGTGTGTGGGAAGTTTAAAGCTCCAGGGAAGAACAGAATCAAAGAGGGAAGTGATAAGGGATGGAGGCACTTGGCCAACTGCTAACCTTGGACACCAGTTTTATATCATGCCCCCTTTTTAAGCTGGTGAGCTGGGCTTCAGTTTTCCCCAGGCCATGCACACTTTTAATTTATTTGAGAGAAACTCTAATTGTATTTTCACTGCAGTATCTTGTATTTTTTATTTGTGATTTAAGAAATGTGAAGAGAAAATACACAGACACATAATGGCTAACAGTGTTTCTTTCCTTGTTCTAGAGCTAACCACTCTAAAATTGTTTGGTAATGTCACTTAGTGTAATTAATTGTAACATATTCTTTTAAATAAATCAATTTATTGATGAAACTATTCTTTGGCTTCCTAGACCTCAAATCATTTTTGGTTGGAGGGGAAGAAGTGAAGGAGGGACCTTTGAGAATTGACTTAGAATGGTCAGTCTGAAAATGGGAAGGAACAGCTAACCAGTTCTCCCAAGTCACTCATGAGGCAGTCTTTTGAGTGCAGGAGATGGGGGAGGGTTGGAAAAGGAGAAGCTGGGAGGCCCCTGATCTAAAGTTCTATTTCCAGTAGCTCCTTTGAAAACTCCTCATTTCTCAGAGTTGATTGTGCCCATCGGCACAAAATCCATGTTAAGACTCAAAAGACTTGTCTCCATCAGCCTTGTCTAGATAGAGCCCAGCAGAGCCCTTGGGACATCTTAGCACTGTCTCCCTACCCCAGCAGCATGTATATACTTTTACATTTTTCAGGTAACTCAGGAAACTTCTCTTTGGAATCTGAACAGAAAGGTATATGTTACCCTTAATGAATATCAGCACAATGCTAGGTACTCTGGGTGGTTACATTCCCTCCTCTGCCCACACCCCTGAGAGTAAGGGGGGTCCTGGATGTTCTTTGTTGTTACAGAGGAATATCAATGCTATGGTCTAATTACATACTCCTAAGAGTACCTGCTCCTCTGTCTTCATGTGCTGAAGCTGCTCTGAAAAGCTCAGCATTTGTGTTGAGTTGGATATTTTTATTTTTGTAACCCCTGACCATGTGCTTTTTGCCCCTTGATTGAAGACCATAAGAACAAGGACTAGTTTGACATTTTGTGTCGCAGATTTGTAGAGAGAGATTGTTCTGGGCCTCATCATTTGCCATCAGTGTTGAATAATTAGAATCTGATAAAAAAAAATTTCTTTAATAATGAAAGGATCTGTAGTAAAGCAGAAATTGGAATTCCAGAGTTGAATTATGGAAGTCAAAGTCAACAAATATTTATTGAATGTCTACTAAGTGCAGGGCAACAGATACAAAAGCAAAGTAAGAAACATACTTCTGGCTTTCAGCCTTGCAGAAGAATGAAAGATTTACAACTGGCCAAGATACACAGCAGTGGAAAATTTTACTGCAAAGACCAGAAAAAAAGGAGGAAAAACCCTTTAGATGAAGGCAGTTAAATCTTCATGGAAAAAGAAAATGGCTTAAGGTGAGCTGTGTAGGATGAGGAAGATTTTAACAAGAAGGCATTCAACAAACTACTGAGCCATTGTGTACCAGACACTAGTAATTGGGAATGAAAACCTGCAATGGTGTGGGGGTCAGAAATAAAAATTGTTCAGATGAATGTATTGGTTTTTTAATTAGCTGTAGTTAGAAACATTGATATTTCAAAATACAGAAGGATCAATTAGGAGACTGCTATGATTAGTTAATAAGTGGAGGCAGAATAAACAACATGGTGGTGTGAGAATTGAACCAGAAACCTCCCAAAATCACGTATAGCATGAAAATAGACCAAATACAACTAATCCTGAAAGACAGGAAAGAGGACAGCAACAGATGGCCTACATCTTGGGAAAAGAGAAGACCTCAATGGAAAAGGGTAAAGTAGCAAAACCACAATCCGGCAGGAACTCAAGCCCTCCCCACAACCCAGCTCACTGGCCAGAGGAAGAGAAATGGAGCGGGGAGGGAGTGGAGGCCCAGGACTGCTAAACACCCACCCCTGGAGATCTGCTCTGGGAGCATGAATGCACATTACATGGTGCCCTCAAGATTAGAGGGGTTGGAAAGCAAAGAGGCAGAATACTCAGAGAGACTGAGATCCCAGCCACTTGTGGAGAACGGGTTCCCACAACCAGCCACTGGGGGATAAAAGAAAGGCAGGCACTTTGAAAGACTTCCCAATAGTGAGAGGGCTGCTAAAGGGGCAAGGATTGCACAGAGCTTCCTGCTCAGGACAGGTGGACAAAATAGTCCCAGTGCACTCAGCCCAACAGTTGAGAACTTTCAGGAGCTTCACACATTCCATTTCACTGGCTGGCAATGCAGTGCCAAGGCCCCCCATTGTGGTATGCAGCTGGCAGGCACTGGTTTGCAAACCTGCTGCCCCTGCAATTGCACCAGGCCAGCCTGAGGGTGCCCCTGGCTATGGCAGCTACAGTGGCATAGCATAGAGGCTCCTCCCTGTGCAGTAGAGGCCCTGGCAGTGGAGGCAGGCACTGGCCAGGAAGCAGGAAAGAGCTCTTTCCTCCTAGCAGGCACAGGCGCAGGGCACCTGAGACCACCACCATTGCTCCAGGGGCTGGGCAGCTCCAGAGAATAGAGCTGGGTATGAGAGGGCACCACCTACACAAAATTATTCCATAGGAATCATTAAAAATATGAAATGGCAAAAAAACCTGGTACAAACCCAAATCCCTCAAACACCAGAAAGAGGGCTAGGTAAAACTGAAATCACCAATCTTCCTGATAAAGATTTGAAAATAATGATAAACATGCTCATGGAACTACAGAAAAATATTCAAGACCTCAGGGAGGTCTTCAAGGAAGAGACAGAAACTTTGAAAATACAGTATCTGAAATGAACCATACAGTGGAGGGATTTAAAAGGACATTAGATGAGGTGGAGGAGATAAATGAAATAGACATTAGAGAACAGGAATACAAAGAAGCTGAGGCACAGAGAGAAGAAAGGATCTCTAGGAATAGAAGAATATTAAGAGAACTGTGTGGCCAATCCAAACAGAACAATATTCACATTATAGAGGTACCAGAAGATGGAGAAAGAGAAAATGGAATAGAAAGTGTCTTTGAGGAAATAATTGCTGAAAAACTCCCAATTCTGGAGAAAGAAATAGTCTCTCAGGCCATGGAGATGCATAGATCTCCCCACACAAGGGACCCACAGAAGACAACACCAAGACACAGAATAATTAAAATGCCAAAGATCAAGGATGACGACAGAGTATTAAAGGCAGCCAGAGAGAGAAAAAAGGTCACCTACAAAGGAAAACCCATCAGGCTATCAGCAGACTTCTCAGCAGAAACCTTACAGGCCAGAAGAGAATGACATGATATAGGGAGGATCTGACAGTATCCCCAAGGCCTTGGGGAAGCTTGGAATGGGTCAGTGGTCTATGCCCACCAAACCATAGCCCATCCAAGCCAGCTGAGGAACCAGGAAGGAGCAGCAGGTATATGGTTGATTTGGGTTGGATCTCAACATTTAATTAAGAAGAGACTGAAGGAATATCTCGTGGTCCCTCAAAGAGCTCCTCGTCTGACCTTGCTGTTAGACCATTTGAGGTCTGAGAGCTACATGCATGATCTGGGGCCAGGGCTGACTGGGGTAGGTCAACATTCTCCCTGCAAGCCCCATAGATAACTGTACTGGGAGCACCAAGTCAGGCTGTGATGTAACTGAATACATCTATGAGCCTTCTTTTCTTTTTCCCTTCTCTACCTTCAAGACAAAAACTGCCAGGGGGGCATCTTTGGCTTTAAGTGGGAGGCAGCATAGTTGGTTTTAGTCAACCTCACTGAGCAGTGTTAGGATGGTTTGAAGTTTCTTTTCTTGTAGCTTAGTTTGCAGATCATTGTGAGGCCACTTTACTTGCTCTCTCACTCTGTTATTCTGGTGGCCACTTGCCCCAGGGAGTGTGGGAGCTATAGGACTTCCTGTCTTCCCTCCCTTTCTCCAGACCTAGGTGGAGTCACAGAGTGTGAAATGTAAGAATGCCGAATGCTTATTAAAGTTGCAGAGAGCGATCCCTGATTTGAAGGATTTGACACAGGGTTGGCTTAAATGAATTTAATTATTTAGCTTAATTATTTGGAAAGAATAACCTGGAAAGAAGGCAAATTCATTTCCCACTCTAAGATGCTAAAGAGGCTTTTGGCACCAGCTGTGTTCAAACTGTAAAAGTAGCAATTTGCCCCTCTTCCCTCAGAGTGTCAGAGAAAGGAACAAATCCAGGAGCATGTGACAGTACAAATGCTGACCTCTGGGTGTGAGGTTCAGGGGGATGCTCTTGGAACAAAAGCCCCTTAGAGTGGCACCATCCCCTTTCTGGCCTGATATTCACTTGGTGCTTTGGAGACTGGGTGAGGGACCCATAGGGAGTTGGTCCATTGGCAGAATCTGTTTAGGAACAGCCCCTGCTTGAGGCTGTACCACTAACAAATTCCAGCTACAGCAAGGAGTAGGGAAGGAGGGAGGTCCCGGGGGACAGCGCCTGCTCCTCCACCCGCAGCAGGCTTCCTGCGACGGCTGCAGAGCTCACTGTGGCTGTGGAGCTCTTCAGGACCAAGCTCTTATTTGCATGAAGCAGTGTTAGGATAACATTCCCTTTCCCCCTTGCTCTGCACTTGCTCTCCCTAATCTCTACTACCTTTCTTTGTCCTGGGTTCTGCCCAGGGAGGCTTCTACCCAGTCTTTTTAGGCAGTTTGTCTCTGAGAAATTGAAGGGTTCCCCCTTCCCCCTGGATCTTTCTAGTCTCCTCTTTTCCTCCCCTTCATACTCAGTTTCTGTCCTCTTTGGAGTTTTTTGTGGATTAGGAGAAAATGCAGGCCCTGAGAAACCTGTGCCTGTAGAAAGGTTCTCTTGGGCCATGCTTTGGGCTCTCTGCTCTTAATGTTTTTATTCTACTCTTCATTTTTCTGCCCTCCTCTCTTGCCCTAGTCTTTAAGCTCAGCATAGGTGAGTGCTCAGGGCAGCTCCCAGGCCTGGAGAGAGCTCTCAGGGAGCAATTAGATAGATGTTCAACATCTCCATGCCTGGCCCATCTACTGTCATCCTTTAGTTACCCAGGCCAATAACTTTGAGTTATCCCCTCTTGTAGCTCCAAACCCAATGCTTGAAGGAGCAGGATAGGTCACTGACAGGAAGTGACACCTCTGTCTCTCATCTCAGATTTTGCCAACTTGTGTGCCTGGCTCCTCGGAGGCAGTTTTCATAAAGGGAACTGCATCCTGGTTGATCTAAAGTCTCTACACCTGGAGGGACTACTGTGCCCTCCTTTCTCTCCATTGTGCTCTCTGGCTGGACTGATTCAGTATAGAGACCATTTGGGCTGTT